GGGGGTTCTACATGGATTTTCAATTAAATCAAGAGCTGGGGAAATATAACCATGGGGCTAAAGGGTGCTAGGTCTACACAAAAAGACCCTGTCTCAACAGAAAAATTTGAAGTTTCTAAGAAATGTGGCTCACTGGACATTCATCTCTGGGATAAACCTTCTCAAAAATGAAAACAAAAAAAAGCACAATTAATTATCATTATATGGACATTTTATATGAATTAAATATGACCTTTTTATGATTGATTTTTTCACACATATTATAATGTATTGATTGACCATGCACTTTTGATTATTTTAAACATTCTGGACTATGATTCACTGTGGAGGGGACTAGAAAATAACTCATGATTTGAATTTTGTTTGGGGGTTTTACATAATATAATACCAGTAAACGTAGAGAATAAAAGGAACATAAATCTCCTTATAGGCAAAACATCATGATTCCAATCACTGATATTTGAAAAAGAACCACAACACTAATTATAATCATGACTGATTATTTAGGAATTTTTGAAGCTTTGTGTTTTTATTTTTAACTTTAATGAATGAAAAAGACTCACTCATCTCACTCACCTCCTTTTTAATGTTAAGAACATTTATTTTACATTGCTCAGATTCTTTAAGACATTGGAAAATGGTGAACTTATCACAGAGGCTCTTGTGTGAAAGGAATGATGCAATTTTCCAAACTGTCATCTTGTAACATAAGACAAAATTTCAGTGTAAGCCCTGTTATTATTCCACTTAATATCAGAATTCTAATTTATTCCATTTGTAAGGTTTAAATTCATGTGCCATGGTTTATGAAAATAAGTGAAGAAAGTATAAGGCAAAAATTAATCTTAAAATTTTCTTGTCAAGTAAGATTATTCAAGAGTAATATTGCTGCTTCATGACTTACCATGTTTTATTATTTAATATAAAGGTTCCCAATAAACTATAAAATTTTTTAATAACTTCATATCAAAGACAAAAAAGAAATAAGATATTTCCTTATAGTGATTTAGCATTTTCATAGTTCTGGTCTTGTGAGATTTATTTTTCAAAATCTGTATCTCAAAATGCTAATTATTAAAAAAAATACAAACATCGCATGCATACCTAAAGATTGTTGAGACATTAAAAATAAGAAATGTGTCAAAAAACAAAACACCTTTCCAGAAATTTAAAAATAAAAATTGCCACAAAACTGAATTTGTGTGATTTAAAATAAAGGTGTTCCCAATTCAATACATCTTAGAGCATTCTTTTAATATCACGAATATGTTTCTACAAGACATGGCATTTGATTGTCCAACACATTTTAATTTAGATACCGCACAATTTAAGGGGAACCTTTAGAATAAATGTTGCACAACATTAAAAAGTGTTTAACTCCAAGTTAGACAAAAGAATGAAAACTATAAAAACTGAATAGTATTAAATTTGATAAGGGCATTTGTTTACTCATAATACTGGAGAAATACTTTGAGAGACAAATAATTGATTGTTTTTATATCTAATATTTTATACCTGTAATCCATTTCCTAAAATAGTAAAAATGAGATATATTTAATCCCCAAAAGCAAGAAGATTCAAATGACAAGAATTCTGTAAAATAGAATAGCCCTTCTTATAGCCCAAAATAATTAGCCAATACATATTATATATATATTTTTTTTAAAATTTACTTTATTTGTAAATGAAATAATTGTACAAAAATGTCCTATAAATGTTTTTTTTCTTCTTTGAAAGGATTTAATGGTTTAATTTTCTAAATCATCAGATGAGATTGCAAACAGGGTTATTCATACTTTAAGACTCAACTAAGATATGTATGCAGGGAAAACAGAAAAAAAGAACCACATTTCTTCAGTAATATTTATCAAACATTATACAAGCATATATTATTAATTATAATTAACTTGCCACCTATTAAGCATTCTGTTGATCATATTCACTTTCATGTGAAATGATCCTCCTCAAAAAGAGTAGCTTCTGCTAAAAACCTTTTATTCAATTTCCTTTAAACAGAATTTTCCTTACCTTAACTATGAAATTCATCAGCAACATATTTATAAATATATATAAATTTTGGGATAAATTTGTCATTAAAATAATGTTTAAATTTTAATTTCTTCATTTTATCCTTTATAACTGTCCAATTTCTTTTTGTAATCTTTAACTTGAGAGATTTACTTTACTTCATAGGGAAAATTTACTCGCTTAAATTTGGGGTTTATTTTTATATTTTAGCTTTATAATTGCATATAATATTGGAAATTATTGGTATATATATATATGAAATTTATCACTAATATATTTTTAAATAATCTTAGAAATTTTTTATATTCTTTAAACATTCACAGTAATATTTACCATATGATTATAGTAGGAAGAGTAGAAAAAAGAACTACTTATGGAAAATGTTCCTCATGTACTTTTTATGCTAAGCTGACTACAGGTCTATTATTGTCTTCTTTTTATAGATGAGAAAACTATGGCTAAGACTAAGAAAATTTTCAGTGATCCTTAAACTATGAAAAAAATGGAATTAGGAAACACATAAATCTAGACCTCTTCACTCTTAATACATTGGTTTTCATAAGTATTTTTTTCTTCAATCATCAAATGTGGGCCTTCTGTATAATTACAGATACACTTAAACAGTTTCTTAGTTAAAAATTTAGAATCCTGTAATAATACTAATTTTATCTGGACATATTTTTAGCTTTTCATTTATTGGCAATATTGATAGACAACTCACCAGCTAATATTTTAATAAATAAAATACAGCAAAATGTAAGTAAGTTCATGAGCTCTAGTAAGGTTGGAAAATAAAAAATAAAGTATGATTTATAATTTTCTTAGAATTTTGTGATTGTTTCTTTAGTAAAATGAGGGTGTTTCTAATATGAAGACAATGGAACTAGATACAAAAAGTTTTTTGAAAGAAAAGAAATGAGTAATTTGGTTCTTGGATGAAAGAAAGTAATATTGAGTTACAAGTGCATAGATGAAAAGCAACTTACTATGAAAAGGTTGGAGTTATGATGTAGATGTTTGTAAATAATAAAATGCATTCTTATGGATAGTGGATTTGAAATAAAGTCCCTTGCCTTGATGTTGAAATCACCAGTAAAAGTTTTTCTACTGTGATAATCTTGAGCTCATGGTTACTTGAGCAGATAGGGTCAAGAATTGTCATTTATTACCTACATTAGATACCAAAGTGCTGATAAAAAAGTGTCCATAGCAAACAAAAAACATCTTCAAGCAAAGTAAAAAAACAAGCCACAGTTATTCAAACATTTTAATACACAGAGGCATTGATGTAGCAGCTTCTTAAAAGTATGTCTGAATGTATCTGCATGTGTAATCAACTAATTTGCTGACTTAACTGTAGTGCAATGAAGATACTTTTGCTTGTTGAACATATTATTATGTATAATGAAAGACTATATGAACTAATCATAATGTACAATCTGAAATATGATCATTCGTGCTAAAAATTCATGATACAGAATATTTTAGTCATACTCTAGCAATTTATTTTTCAGAAATCATGATTGGTTATTGTAGAGGTTGTGGATGATATAAATTGAGCACATACATGAAAGAAATGTAAAGGATTCAATTCCTTGGATGTCAGACAGTTGTTTTAAATACATTCAAAGGTATGTGCATTTCTTTTTCTTTCTTTTTTTTTTGTAATTTTTCATCCTTTGCATTGTACTTGTTTGTTTGTGTTTCATTATTTTTTTAAACATGGAAATTTAGTTCACATTTTCTAACAATATTTACTGTCAATAATTATTACTTCTTTAGCTTCACCATAAATAAGATGTTTATTTCTTAAAATATTAGTGTTTAACGAATTTGTATTTTTTAAATAATTACCATCTAGAATTCAAACAGGCTTTTTGAAATATATACTCACAGGACATATTCATTATTCATCAACTGAGATAAACAAAACCTTTACACTGGAATTTGTGGCTTTGAAAATCATTTTTTTTAATTCTAGAAAATACTAGTGTACTTAATACTAGATCCATCCCCTAGATATTTTGTTCTTTTAAAAAATTCAACCATAAGAAAATTTTAAAATAGAAAAAAAATGTGAGTTTAGTCCTCATATTAACATTATTCATATAATTTTCATGATAAAACCTTTTTTAGTTAAAATTTAAATTATTAAAATATTTGTCACAAAGTGTTGTGACTAGAACATGGCCACATTTTTCTTTTTATACCAATTATATAATTTTTCAAGTAATTAAATATATTTAACAAAAGAATAAAGGAATAAAGATGGCTTCTTTCAGGAAAAATTATTTAAAATTTATTGATTAAAAAACCACAGAATATTAGTATTGTTCTTTCCTTTGTATTCAATTTCATGTTTTGCAATGTAGACTGTTTAAGCTCATATTATTATTCAAAAGTAATAACTGAAGTCAAACTAGTTTGCAACATACAAAACTAAATCCCTGTCACACTTTACTTCTTGATTCATGTTGGCAAGTTCATGATTTCGTCTCAAGAAATTAACCTTTGTTTTCAATATTATTAATAAGAAAATGTTCTTTGGTTCTTTAATCTAAAAATCACAAAGTATTATGCAATAATGGATAAATATTTTGAATGAAGTCACCTCAAAAATAATGTTTCCATTATTTTAATAGCAACAGACTAATACTGATCATATATATTTTGGCCAGGAATGCTGGTACATACTTGTAATACCAGAGATTCAGGAAGCTGAGGCAGGACAACTGCCATCAAAGGCCAACTTAGGCAACATAGATCCTTTCTTAAAATTATATTTATTTATTTGTTTATTTACTTATTCATTTAAAGGTTTAAGAACGTAGCTGTCAAATGGCCCTGGGTTTAATTCCCTGGGCCATACATACATACATAGAAAGAGATTATCTGTGTTTTATTGAGCATTATATCCATTTTGAGAAGAGGTAAGAAGTGGGTTTTGACTCACATTTCAGAACTATCAAGAAATGGGGACCTGGATTTTGTTTGCCTTCCTGTTTGGAACAGCCTTCACTATGCCTGTGAGTAATACCACTTTCATATATCAACTCAATCATAAATTTTGGATTAAAAATCTGCCCCATAAATGGTAAGTGTTATGTTTTAAAAGAGTTTAAGATCAATGTAAAAAAAACCTTAATGAGATAAATAAAATAATAGATTATGTGTACATCTTATTTCTCTTAACATAATGCCCTCCAAGTTTATCTATGTTATTGCAAGTGATAAGATTTTATTCATGTAATGGCCTCACAGTATTCTCTTAATTAACCTAATAATTCTGCATTGTAAACATCTATCAAAATATCACCTTGTACTCCATAAATCTATGTAATTACTACTTATCAATTCAAAGTTAAATAGATTGTTAAACATATGACTGTAGGAATCTACATTTAACAAACACCCCCAAGTAATTCTGTTGAGACAATTAGTTTATAAATTACAAGGATAATATTTTTATATTAGGAATTCACTTCTTGGAACATATCTGTTTTTATAGTTCCTATAAAAAAGTATATTACCTAATCATAAGGGGGTTGGGTTTTTGGTTTTGTTTTGTTTTTGTTTTTGTTTTTGTTTTGGTATTATTATTTTCTGGTGTCTTGCTTATGTATATATTACATTACATTCACATATATCAAATACCAACTATTCTTTTGAAACTCAGATACATATAGGAAGAGAGTTTACCTCACACGAAGAAAAGCAAAATCCATTTTATTTTTGATGGCATGAAGAGCAGTTGATACCACCAGAAACCAGTAAACTTGTATACCTGCCTCCTCTTTTCCTCTCTCAAGAGATCAAGATGCTATGCCCTGCCTTCCTGACCCTGCACTTTGGCAACTTCTAGTTTCCTATAGGATCCCCTTTTTTCCATTCCACATTCAATACTCAGAAGGCGTAATATGAAGATAGTGTAGGAGAGACAGTTACCTCAGTAAAACAATTCACAATGAAAATGAAAGTTATTAAAACTTCTCATAAAATATCAGCTTTTTGAAAGAATAGAATAGAGCAGATTCTTAATTAGTGCCCTATCAGAGGGACATTTTCTGCATGGGGCTTTCTTCTCTCACCTCCACATCAGGGCTATCCAGAATTCAAGGCAGGTATCAGTCACTTTTTCCCCTCTTTGGAAAGGACAGTTAGTTATGGCATACATAATTATTCAGATTGCTTTTTATTTTGAGCTTTCAACTTTGTGCCTTAAATATACTAACAGAAAATAAAAATAAAAGGCCTAAGTTTCATACATAAAACTTTCCATTTTACATGGGAGGTGTTTTCTGCACCATTTTACTGTATTCATCTTATTTTCAACTTAATCAGTAATTTCCACCTAGTTGTACTTTTTGTTACAGTTGATGTGTTACTTAGTTTGCATTCCAAATATGAAGAATTCCTCTGTACTTAAAATTTTAAGCACGTGGTCTGCAAGGTATCTTTTATATTCTTTCCTTTTTGGTATTTTTAAATTGTGTAACAGAAACATTCTTCTCTCTTCCCATCATGGTGTGAGTTTGAAATACTAAATTGATTGGTAGTATATTATAGGATTACTTGACATCATGGGGTAGATGTTCTTATCTCAATACCACTGGAAAAATAAATTTATGCTGGTTGATGCCTCTACGTCTCCTTCTGTAAAACTATTATGTCAGGGAAAAATCATTTACCTGTTTTGAACCTCTCTGAAATACGTTTACTCAAGCTGGGTGTGGTGGCAAATGCCTGTAATCCCAGTGGCTTGGGAGGCTGAGACAGGAGGATTATGAGTTCAAAGCCAGCCTCAGCAATGGCAAGGCAGCAAGCAACTCAGGAACCCTGTCTCTGAATAAAATACAAAATAGGCCTATGAATGTGGCTCAGTGTCTCAGTGGCCCAGTACCCCTGAGTTCAATCCCCAGTATCAAAAGTAATAATATTATTAATAATAATGTCTCCTCCTAAACAACATATATATTCAAACTAATATGTGTGTGTGTAGTGTGTGTGTACATATATATCTCAAATATATCTTTTACTGTGTAGATATTTTTTGAAAAATAGCTTCAGTTTCCCTTAATGTGAACAATTGAATATTGACTTAACCTGTTCCTTTCTCTTTCTCTCTTCCTCTCCTTTTGCCTTCCAATCATTCTCTTTCCATTCTGTTTTTCCTCCTTATAAAAAAAGCTACCACCTCATCCTGGGCACCCTGGTTATATCAACTTCAGCTATGAGGTAATTTTTCCATTTACCACAGCATTTACCATAACATTGTTTGATTTAACAATGCCCTGACCTCTGCAAAGAACACTGTATTGATTTTTAATTCAACATATTTCTTAAATATTCCTACTTTTCTGTTCCCACCAAGTTTTCTGGTTTAAACCCCAAAAGAAGGCCTCAAGCCCAAATTGTCCTAGCAACTTATTATGTGCCCACTTTGACTGCTTCTGTCTTCTTAAATATGGCTATCAATGTACCCATTATGAACTATATGTAGTAGGGCAAAAGATGAACTCAGCTGGAACAGTATAATTTTATCCCAGGCCATAAAATGTGAGGATTAGGTTAAAATGTTACTTAAGGTTGTTTTCCAAAATTTATAAGATATTCATACCATGTGCATATCTCTTATTGTTTCATTGAAAGATCAGTGACTCAGTGCTATAATGAAAAACTGCAGAGAGATAGAAGTTTATGAATTATGAAAGTCATGTTTGAGGTTCTATTCAATCCCATACTGACTGCATAAAATTGGGTAAATTATTTTCTCTACCTGGCACTATGATTTCCTTATATAAAGATGTGAAATAATGATAACCAAACTATAATTTGGGGAGAAAAATTATTAATGAATATAATAAATGCTGTGTCACATATAACTTAAGCAAGGTTAATAATTTATGATTGTATTATATATAATATATTAATATTATATACTATTATATCAAGAAAGTCTAATTTTGAATCTAGATAAATATGTATTGCTTATAAAGACCTGAAATTTTTGCTTCTTCACAGGTTCAGGTAACAATCTCTGAGTCTGTTTTCTCATACAAGTTGAAAAAAAATGTTAGAATTTGAGACAAAATTTTCTGTTAACCTTAAAAATCTGATAAATATGACCAAAACCCCCTCATTTATATGATGGGTTTAGCTTCTCTTCTTGTGAAATCAAAGAATATAAAAATATTAAAGTAAAATTAGATTAAATTTTTTTTGGTACAGAGTAATGAGCATGCCCTCTGGAAGTAAACATAATTACTATTTTGATAAGCCCAGTGAGGTTAATGTACTCTTTTAGTCTTGATTACCTTGTTTATAAAAGTGAGGTGATGATATTCCCCTCAGATAAAGTGAAAAAACATGAAAAGCATATGTGATGGGTGTAACAGAGTACCCATTAAACAGGAAGCATCTGGTGAATGTTTACCTTCTTTCTTTTGTTAAAATCATATTATCAGACTAATGTTTTCAAGATTTCATTAGTTAGTCTATATTTCATCTTTATTAGTGAGTGTATATATCGGATAAAACAATTATATTAAAAGCATCATAATGTTCATTTGTTTTAAGGTGCTTACTCCTTTGAGGTGGTCCCAGAGCATGATAAGGCAGCCGGTAGGTAGACATTTTGTTCTTTAATCCCATAAAATATTTAGATATGTACTTAAATTCCTTTATTAAGCAAAATATCATGTCTACTCCACATATAAACACTTACTGTAATTTTAATTTATAAAAGATTGTATCTATATACACAAAAACTCTTGCAAAGGAAAAAATGACTAAAATATTCATATGGTCATAATGACAAAGAAATCATTGCTACTTCTCCAGTTGGAAGTCAACTGAGCCAATGGTAAACCTGACTCTCTGTTTCTCACCAGTATCCTTCCTATGGTTACGAACCCATGGGTGGATTGCTGCACCACCAAATCATCCCCGTGCTGTCTCAACAGCATACCCCGAGTCACACCCTTCAGCCTCATCACCACATCCCAGTGGTGCCAGCTCAACAGCCCGTGGCCCCCCAGCAGCCAATGATGCCAGTTCCTGGCCACCACTCCATGACTCCAAACCAACACCACCAGCCAAACCTCCCTCCACCTGCCCAGCAGCCCTTCCAGCAGCCCTTCCAGCCCCAGTCCATTCAGCCACAGTCTCACCAGCCCATCCAGCCCATGCAGCCTGTCCAGCCCGTCCAGCCTGTCCAGCCTGTCCAGCCCCAACCACCTCTGCACTCCCTGCATCCCCTGCCACCACAGCCACATCTGCCTCCGATGTTCCCCATGCAGCTGCCCCCCTTTCTTCCTGATTTGCCTCTGGAAGCTTGGCCAGCAACAGACAAGACCAAGCGGGAAGAAGTGGTGAGTATACACTGAAGCCGCTAAGAGACAAATCCTGGGAAACTGGATGTTTTTTGATTCCTTACAGTTTGTGATTCCATTAGTTCATGCATTAAATTTTTATTAAATAAATGAGTTTATTTTTACATATCACATATTTATGCTGGATTTAAAACTTACAACTACTTTGAGTTCCATCTACAAAAAAAATTAAAGAAATTTATTCACTTTAGAAATAAAAGAATAAGTGTTCAGGTCCTTGGCCCATTTGTTGATTGGGTTATTTGTTATCTTATTGTCTAATTTTTTGAGCTCTTTGTATACTCTGGATATTAGGGCTCTATCTGAAGTGTGAGGAGTAAAGATTTGTTCCCAGGATGTAGGCTCCCTATTTACCTCTCTTATTGTTTCTTTTGCTGAGAAAAAACTTTTTAGTTTGAGTAAGTCCCATTTGTTGATTCTAGTTATTAACTTTAGTGCTATGGGTGTCCTATTGAGGAATTTGGAGCCCGACCCCACCGTATATAGATCGTAGCCAACTTTTTCTTCTATCAGACGCCGTGTCTCTGATTTGATATGGGCCAAGGACCTGAACAGACACTTCTCAGAGGAGGACATACAATCAATCAACAAATACATGAAAAAATGCTCACCATCTCTAGCAGTCAGAGAAATGCAAATCAAAACCACCCTAAGATACCATCTCACTCCAGTAAGATTGGCAGCCATTAGGAAGTCAAACAACAACAAGTGCTGGCGAGGATGTGGGGAAAAGGGTACACTTGTACATTGCTGGTGGGACTGCAAATTGGTGCAGCCAATTTGGAAAGCAGCATGGAGATTTCTTGGAAAGCTGGGAATGGAACCACCATTTGACCCAGCTATTCCCCTTCTCGGTCTATTCCCTAAAGACCTAAAAAGAGCATGCTACAGGGACACTGCTACATCGATGTTCATAGCAGCACAATTCACAATAGCAAGACTGTGGAACCAAACTAGATGCCCTTCAATAGACGAATGGATTTAAAAAAAATGTGGCATTTATACACAATGGAGTATTACTCTGCATTAAAAAAAGACAAAATCATAGAATTTGCAGGGAAATGGATGGCATTAGAGCAGATTATGCTAAGTGAAGCTAGCCAATCCCTAAAAAACAAATGCCAAATGTCTTCTTTGATATAAGGAGAGTAACTAAGAACAGAGTAGGGACGAAGAGCATGAAAAGAAGATTAACATTAAACTGGGATGAGAGGTGGGAGGGAAAGGGAGAGAGAAGGGGAATTGCGTGGAAATGGAAGGAGACCCTCAGGGTTATACAAAATTTCATACAAGAGGAAGTGAGGGGAAAGGGGAAAATAATACAAGGGGGAGAAATGAATGACAGTAGAGGGGGTAGAGAGAGAAGAGGGGAGGGGAGGGGATGGGGGATAGTAGAGGATAGGAAAGGCAGCAGAATACAACAGACACTAGTATGGCAATATGTAAATCAGTGGATGTGTAACTGATGTGATTCTGCAATTTGTATACGGGGTAAAAATGGGAGTTCATAACCCACTTGAATCAAAGTGTGAAATATGATATATCAAGAACTATGTAATGTATTGAACAACCAACAATAAAAAATTTTAAAAAGAGAAATAAAAGAATAAGATAAATTAATTCTCTTAAAATTTCAATGATTTGGAAGGAACAAGACAAACTCATACTAAAAAAATTAAAAAGTGTGATTTTGAGAGAATGGATATGCTTACGTTTGGAGAGTCTAAGAAAGGTAGATGGAAAGTCATTTTAAAGTAGTAATGCCTGTCTAAAGTTTTTTAGCATGAAGGAAGCTAAACCAGCTTCTAAATTCATTCTCATTGCTTAGATTTATCAGATTAATTTTTTGAGAATAATTTTTCACAATTCAGAACAAAAGCTATTTCCATTAGAGATTTTTTTTCTAAATTAGTAGGAAACAGTCAATAGATAATCTTTGTTTCTTAGAAATCCTCACATTTTTATCTATATGAGCACATAATTTTGCAACTTATAAATTCTATTAGTGATTTGTTACTGAGAAGTAAAAAGATTAAGATAAAAATAACATGCATGAAGTATCAAAATAATCTGGATTCTAGTTTTTATTTTGCCTCCCCAAAAGATAATGGTATTATATAAATTATGTCAAATTTATGAGCATATGGTTTTATATTTTTAAATGGGGGAAAGTAACTGCAACAGATCTTTTCAAGGCTCTATTTTGATAGTTTCTCAATCAAAAAATATATTCACATGGGAATTTTCAATTGTGATTATATCATAAGGAATTTAAAACACAAGTTTTGAAAATTTTTTGAATCCCAGATATTTATTCCTTATAGTTAATTGTTCTAATTACAGATATACTTTCACTCTTTACATAGATAAAGCATTTATATGTATTTTCTAATAATTAAGGCTATGAACCTTATACTATTTTTACATTTAGTCAAAATTAGTATTTATTTAAAATGAATTGAATAGGTAGTTTAAGCACTTTTAAAAATTTTCTGCAAATGTAAAATTAGAATATAAAAAATAACTTTATAGGATTGTTTATTAAAAATAATTATCTCCTAAACTGGTATGAGCTAAGTATTTGGTGAAAAATAGCTAATTGTCATTGTATTATTAAGTCATAAAATTTAAATGTCCTGAAGCAAGGGCATTTTATATCTAATCACAGTGAGACTGTAAAAGAAATTTTGGAGATAATAGATCTTGACTTAAATTGCACTAAATTTTGGCAACATTTTGTAGATATACTTGTAAATTATTTTTTTTCTTTTTTTCAGGATTAAAAGATCAGAAAATAAAAGAAATAGATATTTCAAGTTCTTTTACAAATGATGCAAGAACAAAATGATTTGTGCCTGGTCAGTTTAGTAGAAATTCTGTAATTAAAGCTAAGTGCCACTATGATGCAATAAAATGATTTAAAAAGTACTCATGTATAATTGTTTAATAAAATTTCACATCACTTGAGATAACATAATTTTTAAGCTACAGTGTGGTAGTCTGGTAACTGCCTATACTGCATTTTAAATAAATGAAGAAATTACTATAATAACCAACTTAAATAAAAAGTAGTTTATCATAAACATATTTATGTTTAAATAAGTCTGAACTAGTATCTACATAATTTCACATTAGAAAAATTCATAATTATGCATTTTTGTTTACATATTATGCATATTGTTTACAAAATTATGTAAACAATAAACATATTTAAAAGATAGTTAAGTAATCAATCACAAAAATACTCAACTCACCCATAATGTCTCATCTGTAAATTATACACTTGATATATGTTTTGTTTTAATTCACTCACTGTTAGTAAGGGTTTCAATACATGTAAAACTGAGGGGGAGATATATTACTTCAAAACAACCTTGCAGCAATTAAAAAGCAAAGAATATAATATGCCTAAAGATTTTTGCCATTATATAAATGTGAAAATTACTCTTTCTTTTTTATTTATTAATCTAGTGAAGAATTCTGATAAAAACAAGGTTTAGAAGAAAACTATTGGAAAATGTAATAAATATAAATCTATGACATTAGGCTTAAGACAAATATCTATCTGATTCATAGCATTCAAATGAAGTATTCGTACATAAATTTATAAATTTACATAGGAAAATGAAAATAAAGAAAACATTCAATCCATTATTTCTACAATAAAAATAAGTACTTATATAACTAGAAAAAAAATAATATTTATAAGTTCTAGGTTTTGTTTTCATCAGTTCCTTTTGGTGTTGGCTTTATATTTTGGTGTGTTCACTTCAGGTAAATTCCAATGAGAAATATGTTAATATGTGCTTAATTTTATAGCAAAAATAATTGATTACACAAGTGTTAAGTTTAAAAAGCAATAGATTTTATCAGAATGAAAAGTTCAATTCAAACTAAAACTAAAAGAAACTAAGAAATTATAAAATGCAGGAAAAGAAATTAAAAAGAACAAAAGAAAATAGAAAAAAAAATGAACAAAAAACCAAATAAGTATACTTTGACAAAATTGGCTAAATTCAAGTTACAGTTCAGGTCACAAGTCAAATTCAAATAATTAGTTTGGATGCTATGCTAAGGAATTTTCAGAAATTTTTGTATTTACAATTTTTTGACAATTAAATGCCTGATCTATTGGTAACTTTAGCACCTTTAATGGCATATAGTGTGATTTTTTTTTTCATTTAATTGTTTAGTACCTGAGTCACTTTTAAGAGTATAACTTCAATCAGTAACAACATAATTTAACAAAAAAATACTATTTATTAAAAAGGGCAAAAATAAATAATCTAACAAACTAATTTTGACTATATTCTAAAACTGCCTACCTTGATAGCAAGTTTGATAATGGAAACTTAAAGATTATGTAGAAGTAATATTAATTTTATGTCAGTAGAGACACTAGTAGTTTTCATGTTTTTCAAATTAGAATTCCATTATGTAGGGAAGAGGTTACTTGAAATAAAGCAGTATGCTACATATTATGTAATTATGATATACGACTGTCCAATATGGTGGTATATTCCTCCCCAATGGCTATGTGGGTGATTTAAATTTGAATAAGTTAAAATGAAATAAAATGGAAAACTAATTTCTTTTTATTTCTTAGATTCATATTTAAATGACAAACAAACTCAAATTCTCCTAAAAAATACCATATGTACAATTTAAATACCATATATATAATTAAATACCATATATACAATTTCTGTTATAGCAGAAAACTTTATTAGACACAATATTTCCTGACATAGGGAAAAATTTTCTAGTAATTCTGATTTTGTTTTTCAGTTAAAATATACAAAAAAAAATCATTCACATTTTCCAACTAGTCCAGTAATTATGATAGCATATGATATTTTTCTAAGAATTAGATAAATTAATATCTACATGATCCATAGCATAAAAAATGAAGTATATATACGTAAATATATAAACTCACATAGGAAAAGAAAGAAGTTAAAAATCATTATTTCTACACT